AAAAAAAAAAGGCGCCGCCGCCGTATTATCTGAAAGAAAACGAAAACATGAAAGGCCGGGGCGCTGCGGAGAAGCCGCCGCAGGCACGCCTCTCACCAAGTCGGACGAAGTTTATCTTTCTCTTTTTTTCGGCCCAAGCTACGGTGGGGGCGCGGGTACCTACCAAACAGAACCGGCCCCGCCCTTACGCGTGTAAGGCTTGGGCCGTGCCACTTTTGTGGCGCGAATTTTTTGGAGCCGCCACCGCTACCGCCCCGCCTCCAGCTAGTAGGCAAAGGCGAAGGCCCATTTTTGTCCTCGAAAGCAAACTGCTTTCTGTGCCCAGGGCCGCAAGCACATAAATACCTCCGTAGTACGTCAAAAGCCTTAATATAGTTTTAGTTCTATCTGCTTCATCAAGCAGACTGCTTGGCCCAACAATTCTTCACATCTGTGAGACATATACTAACGATGTCTTTTTCAATCAGTATCAGATTTTTCAGCTCAATTTTTCAGTGGGACAGAAACTCCGAATTCTGTACACAACAGCAGGCATTAATTATGCGTGATGTAGTTGTATCGCAAGAAAGAACTGTTTCACTGTAAACCTGTGATGCAGAGAACGAAACACCAAAGTGTTTGTCTTGCTACACCTGCAACGCAATGGCTTTTTAAGCGTGTTTTCCCTTGGGAAACGCGCATGGCAAATTTTCTGTGTCATGTGTAAGAAACTTGTGATGCAGATCTTGCAAAACCATCACAGTGAAGCAGTTTTTTCGTGGGATATGTTGATATAATTCGTCGTCCGAGTGCCGTCGCGTGGAAGACAGCCCCGCGCACTTCCTCTATCAATGTGAAAAAAGCCCCCACCCCATATCGGAAACGGAAGATTCGCGAATTTGTGATGCTGTATTTGAGTACACAAATCGACGTGTATTGCTAGAAGGCCAAGAGACGAAGCTGCGGCCTAAATTGCAGGCAATCTGTCATGCTGTTTCCCACTTCCAGTTGCCTCCTGTCATCCTGGCGCTGCAAGGCTTTCCCACGTTAGGCAGCACTACAGTCCGGCGCATCTTTTGCCTTCTAGCATCACAAAGCTGATTTGTGGCCACAAATCTGCATCACAGATTTCCGTTTTGATATGGGGAGGGGGCATTTTTAATTGTAATATCCTCGAATGCTATGCGATAGGTATCAACCTTGAAACACTATCATGTCCGCAGCGTCTTGCCAAGGTCTTCGCCTATGTGGCACATGTGCCACCAGACGACTCCAGCACTGACGCAGAGCTTTGAACCCCTCGCGGGGCTTCCCGCCCGTGGGCACTACGAAATTTCGTATAACGCCGTACCTGGTGGCAGGCACGCAAAAGCATCTGTCAGAGGGCATGATGCGTGATGTGTGAGACTACATTCAGCTTGCCGCTGAAGCTGCTTCACATCTAAAGACCGTGGCGCAAGTATCGATCGAAATGACGCTCGCAGCGAGAACCGCATTGGTGCAGCCATCAGGAACAATATGGAATTGATTTTGCCGGAGCTCACACAGACGCCCGCCCCCCTAGGGGACGCGTAGGCTCCTCCAGGCTCCGACGTTCACATGTTCTTGAGATGATCGCGCGGTCCTCTTGAAAGTAGACCCAGCAAATTCACAGAGGGGCGCTACACTACACTTTCCGCCCAAAGCGTTTGAGGGGATTGCTTTCCCGCTGTCTAATTATCTAAAAATGATCAGTTCTCTACGAAAGTGAAGTGTTGGAATCGGTCCAAAAATGCCTGGAAATGATGAATGCAGCGGTCGCTGTGTCGGATCGAAAAATGCGAAACATCGAATGCAAAGATGGTCGGTCTTGGGTAGTGGAAATGAGTGCCCATGTCTCGTCCACCAAAGTCGGTTTCTGTTTAAAGAAGATTTTTGAATTGATTCTAGTATGGCTCCTGCTAGAGTAGAACAGGCCACGTCTGGTGCAGTAGCCCCACGCACCGCCTGGAGGTCCCTCTGGTGATAAGTACAGCAACACTGTGAGAGTTGTACCAGCCTGCTCTTGTGCGTATACCTCTACCACTTACCTAAAATAACGCATCGCACTTTTTACGCAAAGATCATGTCGATGTGCAGCTACAATGTCGCACTAGGTAGAAGATCAAATTGGTAGTGACCGGAGGCGCACTTGCAAGCAGTTTTCGCTGGGGGCGAAAGATTTGTTTCTGTTGCTGTTCGCAAACAAGATTCCGACCTGATTATCGATACGCAGACGACGTTCTTTGACGACTACCGCATGCAGACTCTGATACCGATCACGACCCGACAAACGACTTGTGACTTACGCTATTACTATGCGGATACGATGCGGAAGGAAGATTTGTTCTTGGGCGACGTGATGAGAAATTTGTCTTGGACAAGGAGACACCGGCCTGAAACTTGTGACGCAACATTTTCGCGCGGGGATTTTTTTTTACTGGGATACATGGAAGAGAAGATTGGAGTTTGTCATGCTGGATTTCGACGACTTGGGTTTTGGCCACCTGATTGAGAACTCGACCCAGTGCAGAGGCGACGATGTCAATTTGTGTTTGCACTTGATAGATCCGACTCGGCTTTCGAAATCTGTGGCTCCAGTTTGGTTTGTTTGTTTCAGAGGAAACGGAAAAAAAGGCTATAGCAGAGGCGATTTCATCTTCATCCTGTGACGCTAGTTCATCTTCTGGTGAAAATTTGTATAATAATTCAGGAACAGCTGGCTCTAGTACAAGAACAGCTGCTAGTGAAGAAGATAATTCTCGCCCAGCAGAACACATCATGATAAATCTTGTGGAAGACAGGTGCTTGAAAGTCGAGGCTTTACGGGCTGCTGCGGTGGGAGGAATAAAAGCTGCGAATTTGTAGTAAAAGGCTCAACAATAGAGACATAGCCGCGATCTCTTCGGTAAGAGCTTTGGTTTGCCGTAAGACTAAGTCGTGCTCTGTTGTTCTTTCCATGCTGCACCAATTTCTCAACGAAGAAGTAGTCGTGCACTGGTTATATATATATTCGATGCACCAATTTCAATATCGTCTATCTTCGAGTTTCATCATACACCGTGACACTTGTTGTCACCTGCGAACTATTTTCGGTCAACCTCAACAATGATACCGCTTCGGTGACGTGAAGAATCGAATTTTGCAGTTTTGCCAAGCCGCACCGTTTCGGTCATTTCAAAAACGTTCTTGTCTAGACCTAAAATGAAAATCGGTCGTGCAGCGTATCGTGCAAAATTTTCTGTACGTTCGTATGGTGCAAAATTTTTTGTATTCTTTCCGAATTATCGTGCAACTTCTGCTTTTCAACTACTTCGGTGTTGGTACTATCTTGTCCAAGGTTGACGCTGGCTATAATTTTTCACCCCGTCGGTCGTGCAACGAGATCGCTCGTTTTTGCAACAGCATGTCGGTTGTTCTCGCCGTGCACAATATGTTGATTATCGTACACAATTCGTACGCAACATCCCACATCCACAACAGGACAATGTGAAGCTTTTGTTCTTCGCGGAATTATAAACGCTTCTACTTTGCCCCTACAAGTTTACATAAATCACTAACGACGGCTGCTCATCTCACAGATATTGAATTTATATTTTATTGAAGTACTATTCACACCAAAAGAAAACGAAATTGAATATAAAATTATTGACCACGACGAGACAACAAAACTAAGTACTCAAAGAAACACGAAGCGGAAGCGGTGAAGAGAAACACGCATAAGAGAAGCGGAATCGTGCGTTCCTGCTGCCCACAACAAGTATGAGATGGACTGAGCGATTCAAAATCAACGGATTCAAAAATTTTCTTTCATGTTCCAAGCTTTTCCTGACTCTTGAAAAGAACAGCAGCATGGATGGGCTGTGTTCTGGGTGTTTTTTTGCGTTCGCCGAAACGTCGCCCAGAAGAGTATCAAGCGAACAAGCTAGGTCGATCTCAACTTGACTTCGTGACTTAGGCGTACGTGAACGCAGAAAAACCGGGAAGGGGAACAAGGCGAGTGTCTGCATTCATAAACGTGAAGAATTCGCAGAAGCAAGGGGCAACAGAGTAGGCTACACAGCGGATACCCTCGAAGCCCAAGCCTGCCACTATTTGGCCCCAAGGCGCTTTTTTTGTTGGCATTTTTTGTTGCATTTTTTTGTTGGCATAGTAGCCCGCGCGGCCTCCGTGGACCTGGTCGAGGCTGCCGCAGGTTTACAACCTTTACGCGAGCAGGCCCAAAGGCATTCCCACCACGGCGCACCAGAAGCCGCCGGCCATGCCCGGCGGTCGGCCCGCTTGGGTTTTGGAATGGGCCTTGGGTTGCCCTTCACATGGCTGACGCGCGTTTTTCCCGGGACACAACTTGGCGGCACTGTTGCGTCTTGTTTTTCCGATCATTTCAAGGCTTCATGCGCACGCGCTGACTTCATCCCCTACTTTGCAGCCTGTAAGTATAAAATGGCAAGTAGTTGCCTCAAGTTGAGACCGGCCACGTTGGCCTCTTTCGTAGTCTTCGGCCTACATATTTTACTTCCATAACCCGGCGCCGACATCTCCGCCACTTACCTGAAACTGCTCCGCGCGACGCCGAATCCGGGGACGTTTTGGAGGAGTTGATGGGATGCGTTTTAGTTGAAAAAAAATTTTTGAATCGCTTGGGTTTGAATCGCTCAGTCCATCTCATAACAAGGTACCTAATTCATTCCCAATCTAGACAACAAACACGAAGCGGAAGCGGTGAAGAGAAACACGCAATTCCTGCGGTGAACGAAGAGAAACGCGTGCGCTCCGGCCGCCCACAAGGTACCTACTTGATTCCCAATCTAGGCATTGCATTTTTCCAGACATCTCATGCTCGGCATCACAGATGATAGCTAGGACTAGGTCGCGCAGCACCAGCGCGAACCTCGTGAGCGCCAGAATGGGTTACTAACCACCTCTGTGGCCCCATTTTTGTTCTCCCGTGGCCAGCCCTTGCCTACAAAAATGGACGACACCGGGGGAGCACAGGAGACGCGCAGCCAATGCCCACGCCGATGTCGGTGCGCAATCAATCTGGAGAGGGAGGCGAAGATGGCGCGCGCATGCTAGAGAAGCACGCACTATCAAAGGAGCAACTAAATCACTTCACATCTGAATCATAGGGCCAAAAAAAAAAATTTTTGAGTATTAATATAGCTTAGCATGAAGAAATGACTTCAGTTGTATGCACATGATGACGATGCGAATATGCCACCAGAATGGCAGTTTTGAAGGCTCAAATGAAGAGCTTTGATTTTGAACTAGATAGTTGATAGCTGCAGGACGATCTAGATAAGTAGCTAGCTGAAGATCATGGTTTATTTGATGAAAAAACAAAGAATATTAGAAGGATTTCGCCTTGTGGCTTCCGGCCGGCAGCCTCTCGCCAAGCTGGAGCGAGGAGCTGCTACGCCTCCAATGTGGAGAGCTGCTGGGAGACATAAACCGCCAATGAGCCGAAGAGCTGGCACTCCGTGACGAAGCAGCCCAACGGATTCGGAGCTGGTACTCCGTGACGAAGCAGGCCAACGGATTCGCCCGAATCCGTTGGGCTGCTTCGTCACGGAGTTCCAGCCCTCCGGCAGAAGAAGCACACATTCTTCCCCGCAGAGCTCCACGTTGGCGACGTCCCAGCTCCTCCAGCCTGGCGGGAGGCTGCCTGCCGGAAGCCACCAGGCGAAATCCCTTTACTTTTCTTTGTTTTTTCATTAAATAAACCATGATCTTCAGCTACTTATTTAACTAGATCTTCCTGCAGCTATCAACTACCTAGTTTAATTAAGAAGCTCAACAGCAGAGCCTTCTTCTGCCGTACCTGGTTTGCATTCTGCATCATATCAACGCAATCATTCATAAGTGAAAGCCACATGATTTGTTACTTGAAATACATTAAAAAAATTTTTTTTTTGGCCCTATGATTCAGATGTGAAGTGATTCATTTGCTCCTTTGATAGCACGCGCGGCTTGTTTACTCATCTTGACGCGAATATATATAATTTAGCGAGCTCGTGGCCCCTCTCTCCGGCGACGCAGTGGCCCGCCACTGCCCGCTAGCGACCTCTGTTGGGGAGGGTTCGGGACTTGTTGCAGCCTCTGTTGCGCCCGGCGCTGCGACCTCTCGGCGCAGTGCTGGAGCACGGTTCGACCCACGTCTGTGGGCGGACAAGTGCGACGCCCGCAGCCACCTCTGTGGCGCGGACGTCGCGGCGCGGTCCCTGCTGCACGCCTCGCTACTGTATCTAGTAGCACAAAAGACGCTGCGAAGCAGCGCAGATACACTTTATACAGAGCCGGAGTTGTTCCACCACTGTGAAGGGTGTCGTGGCCTTTTGTTGAGAACATACGGACTAGAGCAGCGGCCCCATGCGGCCGCAGAACTGCGGGGATTTGGGAAGTAGTTTGTGTTCGCCTCACGATGATCACCAAGATGCTACCCAAGTCACATCATGGATCAGGTACCAACAGGGCGGAAGCCGAAGCGGTGAAG